AATAATAAATATATTGAATATATATCCCATACTCATTGTTTAGCCCCATAATAATAAACTTCATATGTGTGGAATAAACAATAATGAATAACTGGGTAACCATGTGCGGGGAAGTGATGGTGGTGATATTTAATTAGTCATAATGCAAATGTTGAAAGTGAAGTGCAAATGTGCTAACGGCTAGATCATCCACTCCGATAATAGTAAATTATATAGACATGAGGTGTATATGATCTAAAACAACATATAATTGAAAAAAGTGGTGCAGATTGGATATAGTGTATGATCTTGTATACCTTAAATATCCTTAAGTGGATCTCTCCCAAGCCCGTCATCACTAGCACACATTTGCAAGCTGTCTCTCATTGCTTTACCACAGTTTGTACATAAAACAGACTTTGCATGGGGGAGATAGTCTAGAGGGGGAAGCAAAGATGCATGACACTACAATATGTGTGAAGAGTTAATATGTGCAAAACTCCTCTGGCCACTCCAGCTTTTTTTAAACTTTGAAGTAACCTGAGGAGTTTGTCTGATGAACATGGTAACTAACCCTTTATCTGTAGAGGGAACACAGAATTTGTGCAATATATTCCTAGCCTTGCACAGGAGAGAGCGTGATCTTGGTAAGAGTAATTTTAGCTTCTGTAAATAGTGCAGACAGTCGCATGTGATTCCATGCACTCTCTCTCCCCCTGTGCACCATCTTTCTAGGTCTCTGGGCTTAAGCTATTTTTACATGGCTCTACCTAGAGGGGCAGAGAGGCACATGAGCTGATTTGGAATAGGCAGAGCTGTGCAGGCAGAGGCAGTATGAAGATCTGGCTCTTTTCTTAAGCAACACTGATGTCTGCGCTACCCACCTGCGGAGGAAGGTACTGCAACTATTTCCCCAGTGTACAGAAAGCAGCTAGGATGATTGGCGGCTCAAACAGAAGTCGCTGTCCAGGACCATGCTGATGCAGATTTTAAAGAGGTATTGAGAGTAAATTCCTCACACTAGAGAGGAAAAGTGGGATATCCTGCATAATACAAGCTTATTGCTGCATTTATACTCTGTCATCCATCTCACTGGAGTTTAGCTTTAAGCACACAAGTGCAGACTTTTATTAAAACCAATCTGTGGGTACGGTAGTGTTTTATGTGGTTTTTGGACATTACTTGGGGGTTTTGTTTTTGTCATACTACCTTTTTGCTTTTTAAATTTGCGGTTTCTTCTAGAGTTTTACTATATATACAATGTTTTTTGCTGAATTTTTTTTTTTTTCTGTGTAATTGCATTTTCAAATACAGGGAGCCCAAAGTCTGATACCGTGTATGGATCGCCATCTGGAGCCAGTCCTCAGAAACCACAGGCACGATTTATTCCAGTAAGGTTTCAGTACATTGCTGAAAAGTTAGAACTTTTGTCTTGTTTTTCCTGTTATCTTTGTACAATTTGGGAAAGAGTTCTCTTTACTTTTTCTGTTTTGGGGACTGGTGCCCTCCTTGGTGACAGGAATTTAAATTTTGTATCTACCTAATGGCTACGGAGATCTCAAGAAAAACCTGACAGCGGTTACAACCCTTTACTTTTCCTAAACGCTTTAGAACATTTTTAGCTAGAGTTCTATTTAAATGTAAAAAAATTGTGAAAGGATGCAATTTGTTTGGGCTGCTCACTGTTTTTTATGAGTATGTAACTTGGCCTCAGTCATTTCAATTGTGAGGGACCTGACTGGACCCAATGCCTAAGGAGCAGCCACGGTCTTCCTCCAAGGACCATCTTTCCACATGGCAGAGAGTTTAAAGTTGTTCTTCCATAATTGTGTATGTTACAGCATAATGTATTTCTTTCATGATAGGTAGTACCATCACCAGATGACCGGAAAAAACAAAAAATGTCTTTCAGTCCTCAGTCAGGTAAGTTTCTTGACATTATGGTTGCTTAAGAGGGCATTGTTCATTTGCTCCAGATAGCTAACTATAATCTGTGCTTCCATATTTTCATGATATGTACAGGACATACCAGACATTTAGCGCTCTCCCCCAGCATCACAGGTGCAAGCGATCTCCCATGTTCAAAAGCTTCACCTGTCGCAGCAGAAGCTGTGCCACAAGTGCAGCTGTTCAACATGGGAGATTGCTCGCACCTGTGATATGGGGGGGGG